TTCCTCTCTCCCCCCCCACAGCAGCAGGGGCAGCACTCTGGGAATCACAATGGATCTCCCAGCTACAGAGATCAATTCACCTTAGGGCTGACAGCTCCAGGTTGGGAAATTCCTTGAGATTTGGGGGTGGAGCATTGGGACAGTGAGGCTTGGGGATGGAAGCAGCCTCAACAGGATATAATGCCATAGACTCAACCCTCCAAAACAGCCATTTTTTCCAGGGAAACTGATCTCTGTCACCTGGACAACAGTAATTCTGAGTGATCTCCAGCCCTCACCTGGAGGCTGGCAATGGTAGATCTCGTGGAGGAAATGGCTAGTTTGGAGGGGGGAGTCTATGGCATTATGCCAGTCTGAAGTTCCTCCCCTCCTCAAATCCCACCCTCCCCATGCTCCACCTCTCAAATGTCCGGGAATTTCCCAACCTGGAGTTGGCAACCCTATTTCCTTCCCACCCAACAGCCAACCTACCTTTATCTGCCTCTCTGTCTTCAGCTTTCCATCTCCACCCCCTTCCCCCATAGCCTCTACCTAGGAAAATTACAGTCTTTTTCCACAGTGGGGACCAAAGCAGCTTACATTATTTTCTCATCCTTTTTATCTGCACAACAACCCTGAGCAGTTGGTTAGGCTGAAAGTGTGTGACTGGTCCAAAATCACCCAGTCAGCTCCCACTGCAAGATGGGGATCTGAACCTGGGTTTTGGAGGCCCTATTTTGAAGCTCTGCTGCACCACACTGGCTTTCATAGGGTGGCTGCTAATGAATAGTAGCAAGCAGCTGAGCCTAGTTAAGTCATGCAAATCAGGTGGCATCAAGTCACCTAGAGGGTGCTACCTAGGGATGCCAGCCTCCAGGTGGGACCTGGGGATCCCCTGGAATTACTGCTCATCTCCAGACTAAACTTCCCATGGAGAAAACGGATGCTTTGCAGGGTGGGCTCTATGGTATTGTACTTCACTGAGGTCCCTGTCCTTCCCAAGGCCCATCCCCCAAAATCCAGGAGTTTCCCAGCCTGGATCTGGCAACCTCCCCCCCCCATCCTCTGCCGGTGGCCAGGGGGGACCTGGCAACCATAGACTGCTGCCAGGCCTAAGGTTGCCAACCTCCAAGTGGGATCTGGAGACCTTCCCAGAATTACAACAGAACTCTAGACGGGTGATGTCAGGGGGTGTGGCATATGCTAATGAGTTATGCTAATGAGTTCCCCTAGCTCTTTTTCTACGAAATGACCCCTGGGTGACGCAGCCACGTTGCTGACATTGGGGGCGTGGCTGAGCTTGTCGGGGGGAAAACCATATGTTTCCCCCCCGACGAGCTTGGCCACGCCCCCAACATCGGTAGCGTCTGATGTCACTTCCGGTGACGTCGCGGCGGCGGTGCGCGCTTTGCGCACGCGCACACACACATGAGGACTGCTCCCGGACGGGACGCGGACTCCCCCGCCGATGAGTGAAAATTATTTGGCAACCCTAGGCATTATACCCAGCTGAGGCCTCTCCCCCAAACCCAGCCCTCCTTTGAGTCCACCACAAAATCTCTAGGAATTTCCCAGCCTGGCTCTGGCAACGCTTGTCAGGCCTGGCCCCAAGGCTCCCTCCCTGAAAGGCCAAAATAGGCCTGGAAAGGACCCTCCCCCAGCCTTTTACTGACAGAACCAGTTAGAAACCTCCCCCCCTCCGAACATTCTAATCTCTCACTGTTGGTGTCTGGAGTAGCTCCCTACAGAGGCCATTTCAAAAGGTATTGGGGAGGATTCAATCCTTCCCAAGTTGCTTGTTTGGTTGGTTGGTTTTGGTTTTTTCTGCAATCCCAGGAAGTCCCCTGAGTCTGTAGAAAAAGCTGTTGGGAGAAAGTGAGCCCTCTGTTGGTGGAAATAGTATATAGATAGAGTCCAACCTCCAAAGCAGTCATTTTCTCCAGGGGGACAGATCTGTGTAGTCTGGAGTTCAGTTGTAATTCCCAGAGATCTCCAGTTCTCAATTGGAGGCTTGCAACCCTAGGCCTGGAAGCAACCTCTGAGTGACTTGATGCCACCCAACTTGCATGACTCAACTAGACCTGGCTGCTTGCTACTGTTCAAGAGCAGCCACACTATGATAGCCAGTGTGGTGCAGCAGATAGAGCTTCGAATCCCCATTGTGCTGTGGAAGCTCACTAAGTGATTTTGGACCAGTTACATACTTTCAACACAACCTACCTCACAGGGTTGTTGTGCAGATAAAAAGGAGGATAGCAGAATAATGTAAGCTGCTTTAGTCCCCAAAGGTAGGGTATAAATGAAGTAAATAAATAATAAATGTAGCCGAAGATAGGAGGCAAAGAAAAGGTAGGTTAGTGAATGGCTGAGAAGGAGAGAATGAGGCAGGTAAAGGAGAAAGGATATGAGGGTTGCCCATGGGATGGAAAGAAGAAATAATGTGAGGAGGGGGATACAGGGGAAAGTGAGATGCCGGCCCACAAGTCGTTGAGGATTCCCTGCCATGCAAGATGGCCTGGCCCAGTGGCCAGCAGCATTCAACTGGACCACAGTTTTCCTAGATAGAGGCTGTTGGGTGGGAGGGAAAGCTTAAGACAGAGGGACAGATAATGGTAGGTTGGCTGTTGGGTGGGAAGGAGATAGGAGTGCCATCCCCAGGTTAGGAAATCTATAGAGATGGGGGGGAGACAGTGGACAGTGGAGTTTGAGGAGGGGAGGAACCTCAGAGGGGTATAATGCCATAGACTCCACCCTCCAAAGCAGCCATTTCCTCCATGGGAACTAGAGTTGTCAATTTCCAGGTGGGAGCTGGATATCACCCAGAATTACAACTGTTCTCCAGATGGCATAGATCGTTCCCTGGAGAAAATGGCTGCTTTGGAGGGTGAACTGTATGGCATTAAATCCTGCTGAGGTCACTTCCCTCCCCAAAACTCACCCTCCCAAAGCTCTACCCCCAGATATTCAGGAATTTCCCAAACTGGAGCAGGCAAACCTAAGGGGAAACTGATCTCTGTTTTGGGGAGATCTGTTGTGATTCTAGGAGTTCTCCAGGTAGTATCTGGAGGCTGGCAATTCAAGAAGGAGGCAATGAAATGGCGGAAAGGGGAGCAGTTATGGGAGCTTTCAGGAAAAGGAAAGAGGAAATAGTGGGGGGGGGATGAGATGCCTCCAACAAGTCCTTGAGGGTTCCCACTTGTAATTTATATTCTCCTTGCACATTCATGATACATATTCTTTAGCCAACAGGAACTTTTTAAAACGCTTCCTCCATTGTGTAAATGTGGAGAGTATCTTTGTGAAATGAAAAGCCAAGGGGAAAAAAGTCACCCAAATATTTGATGTTAGACATAAAAACAGTCTCAAACACATAACTTAACCCAATCTGATTAGCATACAATCCATTGACAAACAAAATTTTGAAGATATCAGGATGCTGTTTCTCAGTAAACAGAAATACTAACATGCTCCAAACAACAATTAATAGAACAAAAATTACCTCACAAAACTGGAAAAAACATTTTGAAGTATAAAAGAAATACTTAGTATTATGTAAGCTGAGAATCAAAGACTCAGAAAAAGCAGGGAAGACAAATTTACCACTTAAATAAAATGAATGTCTGTATGTCAGAACACCTTGGCCACTCAGCATCACTAGCACAAATGAATACAGAGAAATATCTAAAAAATACAGGGAAACCATTTTCTAAAGACCCAACCTTTACTACATTAAGATTGCATAAATGGGGGGGGGGGATTACACGAACCTTTTAGTGGTAAAGATAACCATGGCCCCTGCCACACGACAGGGAAAACACGGGGCGAAGCGCGGCTTTTAAAAGCCGTGGCAAAAAAGAAACGCCGCGGTGGGATCCCACGGATCATGTTAGCCGCGCGTCATTGCTTCCCGGCACGATCAGATGCCGGGGAGGAAGATACGAGGGGGAGGCTGCCGAACTGCGCATGCTCGAGCATGCGCAGTACGGCAGGGGGCCAGGGATGCACCGCCGGCAAGACGCGCCGCCGATCCCACAACCAGGATGATGCGGCCCAAACGGATGAACCACCGAAGGTAGGTTGGTTCATTTTTGCCACGCTTCATTGGGGGAAGGGCCGGATCGAAGACGGGAGCGCAACGCCAGGCAGATGTTGACGTCGGATCGCTCCCGTTTGCCGCGCTTCCAATCCGGCCTACTCCCGTCCCAAAATGGCTCGTATGAACAGGGCCCATGTAACCTTTCCATGTGGTATGATAGCCTGCACAGATTCAGTTCCAAACTCTATGTTCTTGCTTTGCAGCAGTGCTTCTGCCTTCCAGCTCAGTGTAGAAACGGCAATGGGGGCTGCAAATGGGCTGAAACCCACATTACAGTGGCAATACCTCAGAATTAGGCACTGAGAAAGCACTGCAGTTGGCAGAAAGGTTGGACAGCATGCTGGATGGATATGGAGGTAAGGCATGCCATTTTATTTTTCCCTCACAACATTTTTTGCCCTTTCATTTACCCATTTTAATGGTATTTTTGGTGTTAATTTGCTGCATTAAACGATATAAAAGAAACAAATGAAGAGGGAATACCAGGGGAAAAATGGGAGGAAGTAAAAAGGCTCATAATGATAATTACACAAATGAAACAAAATGAAAGAAGGTGTATTTGTACATCCTTGCTCCCGCTCCCTACTCCTCATTTTATAAATGAATGGAGTAGACCCAAGAATAAATTAACATGGGTGGCCCATTATATCTAGTCTGGCTCAAAGAAAATGGGACAGGAGTGAAGGAGGCCCAGCTGTAGTCCAATCTGTACATATCTTTGTGCAAGGCCTGAGGAACAAAGCATGTGTTTTCTATAATGCCAAGCTCTACTGGTTATATGCTTCATATGGTCTTTTTAAAAAACTTTGTCACAAATACATTGAGGCAGTAACAATTTAGCTGTTTTTGCAAAACTAAGTATCATATTACACTGCAAACCAAATCCATAGTTTTGTACCAAACGTTACCATCACCATCCCCTTACCTGTAAAATATGTGTTGGCAGTGAGAGTAGATGCTGGAAATTTATAATACCCATTTCCTGGGAAACGGATTCCTTTCACTACAGTTACATTTGATGTTGCAAAAGATGCATCCATTCTCTCCAGCTGATAGGTTGGAGGAGGCCCATTAAGTTCTTGAGGATCATTCCAACTTATCTTTATTACTGTATTGTTTACTCCTTCTGCGTGAGGGGCAATTAGCTGTCTTGGAGCTATTATATAAAAGGAAGAAAAATGGAGATACATCCCATCAGTTAAGGTTGTCCAAACAATACTAGTTCACAGAATAAGCTTGAAAGTTTATTATTACATGATATATTGTCACTAAGGAAATCTGTATCCATTTCAGTTTAAACAGTAATTGTAAGTGGCCTTTGACCTCCATGTTGTCTTGCCATACCAATTCAACCTATTGTTTTTTAATTGGTAAAAATTCCTAATGGCACCTATAAAAATGTCCTGTTTAACTAATCAGACTTGCCGGGGTTTGCACCTTAACTGCTGACAAAGAGTATTTTTACCTTAGCATTATAGAAGCTAGTCTATGACCATATTAATAAAGACTGACTTCAGAAGCAATCACACTTTTTGCCAAACTAATTCTGGTCAACAAGATCTATTTATTTATTTGTACATTTCTATGATGCTTTTCCACCCAAATAGGGTCCCCAAAGCAGTGAACACTCAAACACACATAGGCCCTGGTCATACGGAGCATTAGGCACGCTATAGAGACGGAAGATAGGCGGATTTTCCGTGCGCGATCTCACTGCCACATCTGGGAAGCGTAGAGCTCCCGTGGCTCACCCAAGGCTTCACTCTGAAGATGCACTGTAAAAAAACTAGTACCTCCGAGGTACTAGTTTCCGGAAACCACGGGGCAAGGGCGGGCGTCAGATCACGTTTCCGGTGTTAGCTCGTGGTATCCAGCGCCCGCCCATGTCCCATCGTGAAAAGGGGTTTTTTTGTCAAGTCTCCACAGGTGCGCACAAGCACCCAATGGCGCATGTGAACACTTGGGTTAAAAAAACCAACACAACCCCCGCAGTGCCGCTTCTTTGCTGCGCCCAGGAGTGAGGTATGATCGACACCTCCCCCCAACCACGGGATATCAGCGGGACATCAGGCGGGACGTTTGATCCGGCTGCCGCGCAGTTGTTTCTTTCCGGGGCACACCTCCCTCCCGCGATATCCAGCCCATGTGACTGGGGCCTTAATAACACAACCAGGGAGGAGGGGCAATAACAATTAGAGGGGGAATGCCAAACAATACAAGAGACAAAGCAGAAGACAATGACAAAGGGAGACAAATGAATCTCCATGAGGAGAGAGTTCCAAAGTTTTGATGGTGCAACTGAGAAGGCCCTTTCTTGGTCTGCCACTCATCTAACTTCAGCTGAAGCTGGCAAAAGGCACCCCTGGCCACTGCTGCCATCTGTTTATCCAACAGGAGGCCCAGGTCCAGCAGCACTCCCAAGTTACAAACCTGCTCCTCCAGGGGAGTAGAACTCCATCCAGAACAGGAGTTATCCCATTTTCTGTGTCAAACTTTCCCCCTATTAGCAGTACCTCCATTTTGTCAGGATTAAGTTTCAGTTGTTTAGCCCTTATCCATTCTAAAACTGCCTCCAGGCATCTATTCATGGTTTCCACAGCCACCCTGAGATCTGTTAGAACTGTGAGATAGAGCTGAAGGTCTCCCACATATTGGTAGCAACTCAGCCCGGTCGCAGCATTTTGCACTAGCTGCAGCTTCCGGATTTGTGACAAGGGCAGCCCCATGCAGAGAGTGTTACAGTAGTCTAATCTTGAGGTGGCCATCGCATGGATCACTGTTGCCAAGTTGTTGCGGTTGAGGGAGGGAACCGACTGCCTAATCAGCCAAAGATAATAAAAGGCTGACTTGGCCATGCATGGCTGCTACCTGGGCCTCCATTGTTAAGGAAGCATCCAAGAGCACTCCCAAACTTCTATCCTCTGGCACCAACGGTGCCCCATTGAAGGCCGGGATTGGGATCACCATACAGATATGGGCTCACTCAGGTTACTGAGCAGGTAGGTACAGTCAGGAACCTGCTAAGGTCCATAGGCTCTGCCAAAGAGAGATGCCAGGAAGAACAGTGAGCTGCCTGATGGTATCACAGAAATCAAACCAGCTCCCCCACAAATTTCAAGTTGTAGACAAGCATCCCTCCCATTGAGATACAGCACATCTCTGGAGACTCTGCAGTGACTCCTGAGGCTGGTGAGGTTAAAACAGAGGTACACCCAGAGTGAACCACTAGATGTTCTTTTTTCAAAACACTGATCACTTTCAAGAAAGAGGATAATTGCTGGAGCACTGTGTACGAAGTTGAGCTCTGTTATGAGAAGTCACCTCAGCAGGGTGGGATAATCTTCCATACACCAAGCAAAGGGACACCTGGTGGTTGAATAAGAAACAGCACCCCTCACAGCAAGGGCTGCCTGGTCATGGACATACAAAAAGTTGCAGATTGTTAAATCAGTTGTACTAAACATATTACAGAGTCACTGGAATAATGCTAAATTCTAGATTTAAAGGTTTCATTTCATTGTTATGTGCTCAGACATAAGCTATACCACTAATTTATAATATACTATAGGGTACAATATTCATTTGGCGAATAATATGGGTTAAATTATGCTTCTGGCAAATTACTTTGCTGTGTTGTGCTAAGAGTTCATTGTAAAGAGCTTCATTTATAATAAATTAATAACATATCCTTAAAGATTCTTGCATACAAGACCATTAGCATCCCTTTCACTTCCTCGCATTAACCTGTAGTATGTTGCTATTACTTTTCCTACAACATGATAAAATATTACATTTGGCAGAGGGAATGATGGGAGACAAAAACCCACCAGCCGTGCTATGCATTGTAAATTCTTGCTTGGACATCATTTATGACTTCACAATCTAATTAGTATCATACTGCTATGTTAGAAATTTACTGTGTCGAAATTGAAGTAGTGCCGTGTGAGGTCACAAGCCTTCTCTGCATAAGTAGCGCAAAGCGCTAATGAAATGCGGTATTAATGCACAGGTTTCAAAAGAAAACATGGCTTTACACTTGGAACTTCACCTTTGGAGCAAATCAGTCTATGTCAGCATTTTAAATGCAATTGCTGAGGTTGAGTCCTCTGGTTCAGCCTGAAGACGCTAAAGCAGAAATGCGACAATTCATTATTTCTACAATGAACATACATTGCTAACACTCTTTGACAACAATCGCATCTTCCTTACACGTCCTCTTTTAATAAATGGGAGTTGCCTGCACTGTAATTACAGCATCTTTGCTACCCAAATTTGAAGCTTTTATAGGGCTGGTGCAATTAACTACTTAAATGCATTGTAACACTTGCTTCTCTGACAGGGAAGTATTGATTTTTTAATCATTTTCAAGTCTTCTCTAGCACAAATAAATGTACTACAGTTACAGTTAATGCACTGTGTACATGCATTAAACACTAGCATGACACAATTTATTATTTTTTGATATATGGAATAGAAACCCAACCTTTCAGAAAGTACTGTCTTTGGTATAACATTAGTATTGTAACTACCATGTCCTTGGTGATTCAGAATACTTGTGCTTTGAGGGAAGAGGCTGCACTTCAACAATTGAAACAGAAAAAAAGTTTAGAGAATAAATCCCTGTGTCAATGTATTGTACAATAAAGATATGGAAGGCTAAAAGCCACAATATACATTTCCTAAAGGTGTCACTGTGGTACCTGTAGCAGCTTTGTTGAAGGAAGAGAATATAACCTTACCTGTTTCATCCTACTCTTTTCAAATACATGTGAAAGCATACTATATTTTAACAAAATGTGCTATGCTTTGCATATTTTAGTTATGTACTTTTATTTTTTTCCAGATAACATATTGTTGATATGATATAAAGCTAAAATAGTATTTTAAACACCTATGATTCCTGTGTGCCATTGTGAAGCAGAGGGCACCACAAGAATCAGTACAACAGATGGTCCATACAGTTTTATGTAAAAGATATACCACATAGAGATGTTGCTACATTGGTCACTATAAGCAAGCCTTTCTGGTGTGTGTGGGGTGTGTGCGTATGTCTGCATGTGTGCATTATTTGTGTATGAAAAATATAATGCTGGTAAGCAAAGAGCAGTTAACTTTGTTTTGTTTGAAACAATATCATTTTAGTTTTAGAAGCTAAGACAGATGCCAGCATTTCACTGCGAACAGATGGTAATTCCATCTAATAGTGCATCTCTGTATTAGTAAGGTCTGTTGTGTATACAAACAGTAATAAACACTAGGTGAGGATCAAAATAAATTTTAATTGTTGACATTAAATTCTGGCAGCCATGCTTCTAAGGATAGCATATTCTTTTCGCAAATCTGTCAGGTTAACTAATGCAGCTGCTAAAGCTTTCCTAGAGCCTGTCAGGTTGTAAGGCTAATAAAAATGCATTTGCATCATAGCTACAAAACTTTACTGGTCTCCTTCTCTTTCATGCTTTCATATTAAAAGGAAACTCTCCATGAATTATCAGTGGCACTTCTGTGTTCTGTTCTTTTTGGGTTTTGGTCTGCAATTAGTTTTTCAGTGTGTTCATGACAATGCACAACCCCAAATGACAAATCTTCTTATTAGTATTTTGAAAATGACAGTATGGATATACCTACAATTTAGCTATTGCTCATTAGAACCATAATCATTTGACTGATTCCAAAAATGGTAAGTTGGTATGTAAAAAGGCCTTCCTGTCTGATCCTCAGCACAGGTACTCAGTGTATTGACTCTTGTCATGTGCTCTAATTGCCAAGGGCCAAATATATATTCACATGAATATATCAACTTAGCAATGAAAAGTACACTAATTTTTCTCATTCAGCTTCATTACAACTTAGTGAGATAGCTTGTTATCATTCCCATTGTACAGAAGAGGAACTGAGGACAAGCATCAGCGAAATGGCGGAACAGCAGTGAGACTCTTTGGTCTTTGTTTGTCACATTTACATCTTGATTCTGTATCATAAGGTCTTCAGAGTGGTTTACAATGTTTTAGAGACAGTAATCATATCCCCCCCTCCACAGGCATACTATATAATGCCCCTACTGGTCTGTCTAAACTGTAATGGGGGGGGGTCAAAATTTTCTGGGAAATGCATTCTCTAGTCCCTTCCTCCCAGAACTACGGGTCCTTAATGTCT